AAACCTACGAAGACTCTAGCTAAGAAGTCTAACGGGAGATCGAATTTTTGAAGATCCCCCAAGTTTGAGTTCTGTGATGTGCCTGCAAATGAAATGAGATCGGTTTTTAATAAAGCAAACCCGGCCCGAGGAATTGGTTAAACAAACATTTTTAAATACAACGCGCCTTTGCCGCCTCACTTTTCATCTTGCTTTCGGGAGAGTGCTACAGTGGAATGCAAGTTGTGTAGATTGTTGTCTAATCTTAAAACAGTCTATCACATGAATTTAATTGCTGTGCCAATCTTTTTGAAGAGTTAAGATTGGCCTTAAAGCATGTGTCCCTACCACCAGGTACAATGCTATTATATTAATTGGACATTTCATTTTAAATGCTCATTCACCTACGCGATCATCAAGTTTTGGCAGGCTCCGTTATGGCCTCTCCTTATTTTCTAATCTCCTAGCTCTTCTATATTAGGCTACAGAAAAGACTAATTTTACAATTCTAATAAACAAATCAGAGAAATGGACACGAAAGAAAGATTTTGCTGTTTTTCCTTAAATGATAAGTTTTTATTGGAGTGTGTGTAGTCAAAATTGAAATAATCAAACCTTTTTATCTTTCATTTATAAAATAAATAGGTCCTGGTGTAGAAGTAGCATGATTTTACTGTTTAAGGATATCGGGATGGCAGAACATGATTTAACTGGGTCCACTTACCCTACCAGTCAAAGGAAATATTGTCGAAATACTAGCCATCCTTAAATTGACAGATAATATGGACAGTCAGTTAACCGGGGAAAAAGAAGTAGAAAAGTGTGTTGTAATGGAGAATTTTTGCCTTTTCGATAATGATGCCGAACAACTGTCGCCACCACCGACTGCCGAGGTTGCAAAAAAGGGGGAACTTTTCCCCCCACCTGGCGATTGTAGAGGGAATCGTGGCGTTGACATAAATCCTTCCGTAGTTTCCAATAGGTGCAAAAGGCGGGAAAATTTGCAGTGCAGTAGGTTTTTTCCGACAGGAGGGAAGCCGGGCAAAGCGTAGGAGAGTGGAAAGTCGTGAAGGCCTGTCGTCAATGTAGGGCTAAGACGGTACCTCCCGTCTTTCTTTTGCTTTACTGGGAAACTGTCTAGTCGTATCCCACATCCATAAATTCCGCAGGGTAATTTTCAAACTGTTTTTGTCTTTTTCTCCTTCTTTTTCCGTTCTCTTTCATGTATGATAAAATTAATGTAAAGGTAAAAGGATTTAGTTAGCATTTTAATCGTCTTCCAAGTGGAAAGTATAGTTGACCCAGATGTCACGAGGTCTGAGCTTTACCTAGCTATGGGGTATCTTTATGATGGGGTTTTGTAAGTCCAACAAGATGAGAGTATCCTTACGTTGATTTTTTTACACCTGCGATCACTGCCCATGCCCACGTCCTGCCAATCCCTTTTAACTTTATTCCATACTGTTATGATTTCGGCAACTACCCCACAAATAATTTTACTAGCTGGAGTGACAATGGCCGTGAATCATTTGATGGACTTCTTTGCGGAGCTTCCTGCGTTATCTTCATGACGATGTCGATTGAGTGCTCACAAAAACATTTCTCCCACCTCTTCACTAGCTAGATAGAATCCAGGTAAATATGGCTGGAAAGTACTAAAGTGGGAACCCTGAAGTGAACCCTTATTCGAGACTAGGCATTTTGGTCAGTGTTCATATTACTAGCAATAGATATACTTGATGATCTGTACATTTCCAATTTCCCTAATATAATCTTAAAACATCACAAAACACCAGATTTTAGTGAACTTACCAAGACGTGTGAGTGATGTTGCAGTCAAACACCTCAGTTGCAAGCAAAATGGATGACAAGCGCTGTTAGTTTTCGGTTTGTGCTGGGCGAAGGTGAGATTAAATAAGGGTAACGTAGGAGAAGATGCTCAAACGATGGCAGAGAAGAGCTATGCAGTACTTTTATTGTTTGCGTAACTCTCGGCTTTTGTAACGGGCCACCGGGGGTCCCACCATTTCATTGCCGCTGGAATTTCCAGCCTCTGATCTACGTCGGTAGCGCCCAATCAATTTGATACGTCAGCAGTGCATATTCTGACCCAGTACTGTGTTTTTTTATGTCTTCAAGGAAGTCCTCGTGTGCTACCGGAGAAAGGAAACCCCACAATTTTTTCTCTCTTATTAGCATCAGGATCCATCCTAATTTCAGCAGAATGCCTTACATGATTATAGTCTCTCAGCCCTCTCCTGTGATAAATCTAATATAATTCTTTTACAGAAGCTGACTTAGGTGCTTTATAAATTCCTATCTTTGATACGAAAAGATCAGATTATTTATTTACAGGCAGCTAAAATTGACATACAAAATAAATCATGCAACATACTCCGAATTTTAGCTAACTCTTTAGATACAGTAAAATTGGAAAAATTCTCAAGTATTTAAGTACTTACTTCTATAGAAACACATCTAGAGTTCACTGGCTTTTCAATAAGCGCTTTTAATACATAATATGTAAATGCTGCAAATAGCTACGTGAAATCTTTTCGCGGTTAAAATAGCCATCATTTCAAACTGCAATCCCTTTCCAGCGAGAGGTAAGCTTGCGGCTTCCGCCTTTAGTGGGCGATCTTTTTTCTAGGAGCTTGGCAAAACCTAGCCTTTGCGATCTCTACTCCCTTCTCTTGTCTCCCAGCTGCCTTTTCTCCTTCACAATATACTGGTCAATGCTAATCGTTAGGTGAAGTAGAGTCGGAGAATATGGTGAGACTCTGTCTTATCCCATTTTTAAGTATAAGCCTCAAGCATCATTTGGGCGAACTGAAGCTTTACGCTTTGAACTGGACTTTACATCCATCGACAGTTCAAATATTCTCGGCTACCCTCACTGGTTATGAAGAAGAAATCTTTCTAGTACACGTTCGAGTTGTATTGCGTGGGATAATTGTTTAGACTTCAGCTTGTGATTAATTAAAATTAATCAGTTGCTTTTGCAATGGGGAGTAAGCTGTCAAGTTTGGGTAAGCAATGATATGATATGTTAAAGTACACACAAAAGCCATTTCCCATCACAAGACATTTAGTCGGCCAGATATTCATTCAGCCATCAGTCAAGAATAGACAGGGCATTTTTAGGGCGCACTTGAAAGAAGTGAGCAATAACTGGTAGCCCATCAAGTTTATTATCGTCTGGTCATGAATGACAATTAAGCGGGGCCCCTCCTTCCTTCTTCCGCGATTTAATCTTTCTAGCTGATGTAAGTGTAGAAGGTTTGGTCAAACATGATGGAAAGTTGTCCTCGGTCTTTTATTTATTACTATTTATTATTTATTTATTATTATTATTTATCCATCACAGCCAAAAGCAAATCATTTAAACTATTTCTGTTCAGCAAACTCTGTTACCACAAAACAGACAAGTTTAAATGTGCTAAGTAGACAATCTCAAATCACATTCACTAAGTTTAAATTATATTTTATAATAAAAGGTTCCAAAGCAGGTGAAAACAGTAGGAAGGGCGATAAGGTGGACCGTACTCGTAACGAGCTTTACAGTGCCTCCATCAATAACCAATCAGGTGCAAGATATGTCGCAGCCCGCACCATCTGTACTCAATAGCTCATAGAAAATATTTTGCATCTTTCTACACTGTTTTTGTAACCGTTTGTATAGCTGCATCATATCTTGCTTCACAGTCAACAATTTATTAAAATGACTTCTTTCTTTAATGTTATTTACAGCCAATCACATGCTTGGTCCGTTCTCCACCTGTATTCAGTTAACTGTAAGCCTTAATTGTAAGAGTTAAAATTTGTTATTTTACTAGACTCTAGTAGCAATTTAAATGTACCACTGTTTGTGGTCGAAAGCTCTCTCTATCTTTAGTCTGTCTGCGCTTTTGAGACTACATTAATTGATGTAGGGGAAAAGCTAAAGTTGGTGATTTTTTATTAAAAATAAATTGAAGGAATGCAACATCTTAGTGCATAATTATTAAAGAGGAATTTACAAACACAGATTCCACCTCATGAAAAAATTCCATCCACATCAGATGCTTGTCTTTTCCCTTTCTCCTCCTTAGACAAAAATAAGTAGGATCACTTTACAGGGGAGATTAATGTCACCCATCCCAGATGCCTCCAGTATCTATGCTTAGGGAATTGTTTATCTTAAGATTTTGTAAAAAATGGAAAGCTGCATGAGCTTACTTTCCAGGAATTACAGTAAAGTAAACTAACGTCAAGTTTTGGTTTCAAAAAGTTGGATAAATTATAAGCATCCGGAATTTGACGTCTTCAAAGGGAATGATTTTTTTAAGTTACTAAAGTACTCTGTGGAAAATTAATAGGTTAGACTACAGACAAAAATTCATTTACCAATGTGCAGGCTCCAAAGGGTGCTGTAACTATACGTAAGAAGCGTATAGTACTACTACTTTGCAGAGAAAGTGGAGAGTAAAAATACAAACAGTTGATTGAAGGAAGCAGACACCGAAGTCAGAAGACAATACTTCACAGTGGTCTGCCCTCAGCATTTGAACCACTACTATTGAGAAAGATGCTGACTTTCGAGAGTCTAACAGCCATTGGTGATAGAACGTGGGATCACCTGAGTAAGCCCAAAAAGTAGGTCGGCAGCAATTACTAGCTTCGGCAGCAAAGAAATTCAAGACGCAACCATTGATAAGAGAGAATGCATGGATCATCATCCAGGAATTCTAGAATGCGTTTCATTAAATGACATCCAAATCGTGAAACAGCTGCCCTTAAGGAAATTCGAATGTCGTGTTTTGAAGAAATTGTTGCTTGAAGTATTCTTGAAAATGGAGAAAAATCTGTTGCAAGGCATTGCATTACCCCAGCTCCGCAGGTCTTAATTTTTGGCTCTTTTACTTAATTCAGGATGAAAAATTTGAGGTTAAATTCAGTATTGAGTGCCTTCTGATCTCAACTCATTTTAATCATTAAATAAGCTATGAGATAAAGTCGAAAAAGGTTGTGGATGAGTGACTATGAATTCAAGGAAAACAATTCCCCATAATGGCATGAAAAAGTAGGCAGAACTCTGAAAAGGGGATGCATCGCAACAGCAGCATTCGGTGAAGAACTGCAAAAGGTGCGCAGACTGCCATGCAAATGATCAAAACAGTCAGCATTTAATTTTAGGTCAAAACAGAACTTTTGCTTTGCAGCTGCGTCAAAGTGGAATGCCACTGAGGCGGCTTAAAGCTACATGGACTAGATGGCGCGTATGGCGTGGCCGAGTCCACGCGGTATACATGAAAATCACGGGAAACGCAGTGCTGGTGAACAGAATGCGATAGCGTTTGGTCATAGAACCCACACGGAAGGTTTTGAAAAGATTACTGTCATAGAATGCACATATTTAATGAATTAGGTGAGATGGAGATATGTCTATTAGTGACCATATCCCTCCTGGTAGTCTTCAACTCACCGCAGCAGCCATTCCTTTGAGTATTTTCAACTCTTAGACGCCTGATCCAGGGCGTCTCATAGAAATAGTAAACTACTTTAAAATCTTAGCAAATCTTTGGTAATATATGAGATAGGCAAATGTGCTAGCTTAGTGGAGAGACATGAACATAACTGTGAATGTCTCAAGACCGGACAATTCGGTGCCATTTCTTGCTTTCGGGCAGACGCACCTTCATGAAAATCAAAATTGATGCATCAAACATTTCCACTTAGTTTTGGTAACACTACCCAGTAAAAAATAGTTCCATTATCCGCAAAGTTTTGTCGTTAATGATGTCTCTGTAAGACGGCCAGTTACTACAATGAAGTAGTTTTAGTGTTCCGATATGACACCATTTATCAAATTTTGATGCATTTGATAGGTTGAGGACCAAAAAGGCAAAGAGCAGACTACATTTATTCTATTATCATAAAAATTCTCTGCAATTTGGTGTAAGCAGCCATCATTGATTATTGAGGAACACGTGTCACACATTTGTGACACTGGATCCACGTAAGAAAATCAGACGCTTAAATCCATTTTTTTGTCTTTGCAAATCTAATCATAACTTTGCACTAATTCTTTTCTTCCAGTGGTTGCAATCAACTCTGCTATCATTTAAGCGGCCAACACTGAAGACAAAGTTAAAAAGTCCGTTGTATATGATGCAATAATGTATAGTAAGTACACACGATGGTCTCACTTGTCAAACTTTACTACTTTATAGAACAGCAATGAGGCCGATATCAAATGTGCTACATCCTTACATTTAAAACTTGTGATAGGTTTCCACTATGAAACCAAATGAACTCTTCAGCAGTTAATTGCAGTTTTTCTCTCCCCACTTATTGGACAGAAGATTAAAAACTTATCTCTCTACTCGGAAATTGTGTTGAAATTTTGTAGCAAAATGTCAAATTTATTTAATGGGAAAAAGAAAAGTTGGATGACAGGACCAGCATGCCGGCAAGTTGTTGCAACAACAAGAAATTCTGAAGAAAGTGACCTTGTGGAAGGTGCATTTTATAAAAAGGCTTCATCACCATGTGCCCAATTCCGTATAAACAACTGACAGGTAAACAATAAGCGAAATGCATTTTTTTCTCAATTGCATTAACAAACGGGAGAATTTGGGAGGTGAATCAATCTCCAGGGGAAGATAACCCATTTTTTTCTATGGGGAGGAATTATTAAATTACAGGTGAAGTGAGAGATCGGTTTATAGAATTACTTGCAACTTTTTTTGTTCCAAAGGTAAACAAACACAAAAACTGCATAAAATATTGCGCCGACTATGTGCACGGTTGTTTGAATGTTCCTTTTAGGCAAGACTCGGTGAGAAAAGACAAACATCATGACGGATCGGACGCCATCGGTCCCAAGTCCCCGAGGAGGAAGCTTAACCTGAACACACCTACACCGTGATATTTGTACCACTTTTATTAAGTGTGTCTTCGTTCAACTTGTTTGCTCAATCCAGGAGTATGAGGGCAGAGGTGGAAAAGAGAAACCCTGGGCCAAAATTGGACTGCAGTTTATAAGCAAATTATTTGAAATAAAAAGATTATAATCACTTTTCAAATTAAAAGACAAGATATTTTTGTCAGACAGAAGTGAAGTAAATTTCCCCTCTTAGGAAAATTCCATCTGACATTGATGTCTGGGAAGTTATCTGAAATACTGTAAAGAGAAATATGACAGCCTTTCAGTACAGAAGTGAGCTTGAAAGGAGGAATTGCAAATGATAGAACCTGATTGCGCCGTGTGGCTACTTCCAGTTGACAAAGAGACCGTCATTTCACTTCGAATGGAAGCTGTCATTCCAAGTTAGGGATGGATGCCAATATACACGTTAGACACGGAAGTAGCAAAACTAATCTTAGTACGCATTTTGAATTCAAATTCATCTCTAAAAGTGTCGCCTAGGGGTAATTTGGAAATTGCGAAACTACCCATACTGTCCGTTTGAGGGATGTAAAGCACTTTGGACGTCTCATGGTTATAACTAGCTACTCGGAAAGAAGAATGTGGTCTAGCAATGCCTGATAAATATGGGGCAATAACCGTTGAATACATTAAAATAAATTTAAGTTTCAGCCCTGGATCTGCTTATCCCCTGACCCGTGACTATTTACTTTTAAAATGAGAGCAAAATATAATACTTCAGCTGCTTCATTTTGGTTTCACAAGGAGTTAAGGCTCTGTCTTTGTATCTTTGCTGAGCGGCATGATCTAAGGGTCAAGTCAGCAGTTACCAACCCTTTTATACATCGGCAGAAAGCATTCTACCCTGGTATTAGGCCTTTTTCGTCCTAAGGAAAGACTCGGGGCGCTATATTAGAGGAAGCGAAAGGCAAACCCTGTCCTGATCGCTACTGCTGTACACCAGATCTAAACGTGACAGAAGGTTATATTCGGTGGGCTGGAAAACTTGTGGCTGTCCCCAACCAAAGGATTAAAAATGACATTAGCCTTTAGCAATTACTCCAGTCTCTTTATCAGCAGAAATGCTATTAACACCTGATATTAACAAGCTACAAAGTTTGTTATGGAGCTGTCTACGGTACCTAAATGAGGGTGTTAATCAAGTGAACACGTGACTCCTCCACTTCCTTACTAGAAGGATAAAACTCAGATACATCTGGCTGAACAGCAGTGAAGTAAAAACAATGAGGCAAGGAGGAGCAGAGTTGAAATTTCATCCCCACTAAACCATTTTAAACCTCGTTCTTTATTAGGTATTCATGCGACTAAGGGTGGACGTGCGAAATAGCCAGTACCTTCTTTGCTCAGCACAGTTCCTATACAGGGCAAAATCTCAGGCCCAGTGGAATTTTTGAGAGGGATTAATGAAGTTGCAGTCAGATATCTTTTTAGTTACAAGCAAGCTGAATAACCAGTGGTCAGTTGATGCGTGTCATTCCAGCAGCTCCGACTACGGCATGATGGCAGACGTGAGAGGTTGACCAAGGGTAGAGCCGCAGGCGAGGCTCAAATAAAGAGAGTGACTAAATAATGCTCTGATTTTGTAGTTCCTTATTTTGGTTTCGTGGTCAGTTAAGGATCTGCGACTGTTGTTCATCATGGTGGTGTAGATTCCTGGCAATACCTGTAACCCACAGCCTTTCTGTACTTCAGCAATCCATATTTTGTTCTAGCATTATGGCTTCTTTCATCATCCACGAAGTCTACGGACCCTGCACCAAAATTCCATAGTCATTCTTCCCAAAATATATCTACTTTGCCTGGTTTGTGGCAAATTGTAGCAGATTCGTATTTGTTATAAATTTTATTAGATCAGGCGCGCTACGCTTCAGTGATTTTGCCGCAGCGTTCTGCTCAAGAAAAAGGAAACCCCAACTTTTCCATACCTGTACACAGTTTAGCATCCTTAAGGGCAAATTGATGTGGTAAGGAACAAATCAGAAAGGCATGCCGGACTATGCAAACTGAAGCATAATAAACTTCAGATAAACTGAGTTCCTGCAATTTAAGAGAAGTGAAACCAAACCACAAGTAAAATTCTACTTAAAAATTCATAAATAATTCCTCAAACAGAAAAAGAAACATCAGAGATGATTGCACATACATCTGCATTTCATAGTCTTCCATAAACGCTACTAGACGGCACTAGTAGAACTGGAATGTATCATTGCTAACAAACAAGAGCTAATATTTACTACCATGAATCCAAAATAAATAAGCCACTAAAATTAACCATGATATCTTATTTATAGGACCAAGATTGCCATCTGCTTTTGATGAACACAGCGCACGCACTTGTAGGGCTTCAGCCACTGAGCTACGGATGTGGAGGCTGACCTGCTGTGAAAATGGAGATGTCGATGCATACAGCCCTGGTCCAAGTTTTATCAAATTTAAGGGAAATGTCAATTCTCACTTCCATTTTTGAAGTATTTAAGTAATTTTTTACTCCGCTATTCATTTCTGAAGAGTAGAGAATAAAATGGAGAATAACCTTGGCTTGGTAGAAATATAATATAATGGTCAAATTCACGGCCATTCACTTTTAAAGAAGTGATTATGTTTTCATTGAAGAATCACTTATTTTCCTTTTATTTGGCTCTCTTGGTACCCACCAATACCTGACAGCTAGGCTTCCCACGTCGGCGGCCTTTCCTAACACTACATCAAGAAAGGCGACTTCATTGTAGCATTTTGATTCCACTTTAAATACACATTCTTACCAAGCAATTAATAATGGCAATCGGGTTTGCTGAAATTGTTGGTGGAAGATAAAACAAGTCATTCCAGCTGAGTCGTGAATTGATGAGTAGGTGGCTATTTAGTTTCCTTCTAAAGGGACTATTCATGGACTCCCCCCACATAAGTTAATAGACTTTCTCCCGAGGGAAGATGACACATAATCAGCTTTTTGAGGAGCCCTATAAATTTGAAGGCGCGCGGTCGGAGAACTACAAAATTTTCACACGAAATACTAGCCAACTTCTCAATAATTGAATCTACTTGTTTTAGGACAAATTACATTAACTTTTGATAGGTTCGGCCTATTGGGGAGATATTCATCCTACCATGATCTTCACCACAAAGAGTTAAGTGTCATGAACAAATGCCAGAGTTTTTGCTACTGGTTTCCCAGAGGGGCACTTGGGAACCTAAAGTAGCAAGTAGTAACGAGGATTCTCGGTTTACCCCATGGAACGGGTGGTCACCATATTTCGGGCTTGGTCATGGGCTTGCATTATGTGTAGGTCAGTCTATCGTTACGATGTGGTACTTCCCCATTGTACACTCTACTACTTTCCCCGTGGAATGTCGGTCAAACACAATGGACGTTATTGGAGCATATCTGCTTTACGAAAGCCGACGCTTCTCATCAAATCTATTGCTCAGCATTTAAAGGTGGTGTGGCAGCCAAACGAGTCGTGAAGAAATGACATAGAAGTTGAATTCTCTTAACAAATCACCCAAATATGGGGGATACTCCGTATAAAGAGACTCTATATCCTTCTCAATAATAAGCAGATGTTAGTGATATGTTACTTAAAGATGGAAATTGCTGAGGACTTTCGACAATGCTCAAAACAAATAGTGGAAAGGCTGCGGTGGGAGCTACTAAGCAAACGGATTTCGTATACCATTCACCAACAAGTGACAATAAGTGTGGGATACCATTAATATGTTTCCCGTTTATCCATCTTGTATTATAAATTGATGGCGATAAGAAATGACCCACTGTATTACTAGTTCCAACCAAGAATCCACTCACTACCCACTTTAAATGCCCAAGGCGTGCGTCACTTCATCTTCACAAAACAATTCCTGCTTTGTGTTTGATGGACTACAGATGCAAATGTTCGAGTACGACCCATCTCAAATGTAGGAAGGAAAAACCTATTGAGAAACCTTTAGGATTGAACAAACAGTAGGAAGGAAGCCCCATTCTCTTTCTTGTAAGACAATATGGGTCCTCACGCTGCATTGACACATGAAATTTATGCTATGCGATGAGAGGATGATGCCACCTCACTTCATCCTTCCTACTTCTTTCGTCATCTTTATCAGAGTGATTGGTACCTTTTACAGTTGCAATGTGGTAGAATAGACAGTTAGAAATAAAGACGAGATAGAACCAAGGCCACCAAGGATGGATTTTTGACCAAAGAAAAAAAATGATTTGTGAAAGAGGAATTCGCAAGTTTGTGCCTCCTCTGGAAAAATGATAGATGGATGATATTTCCTAAAGCTTTTTGCAGCCACTTTTTTACTGCCCAAAGTGGTGCGAACACAGTTGGTTGCTTCATGCCTTGTTGAGGTGCAGGTCAATCAAGAAACTACTTCAACTGATTTTATTCTGCTTACGAGACTCCATTTATACCTCTTTCCCTATCCTTCATGGTCGTGATTCTAATTGACTGGATACCCAGAGGATTAGAAACCCAAAATATTTTGCTATTCCATTTTCTGACTATTTCAATTCCATTTCTAGAACTCTGACACTGATCTGTGAGGGTAGACAGCTTGTTAAACAGAATTTGACAAGTGAAATCCTTATTCAAAATAAAAAATTTCGGGGCACTTACAAACTGC